GCTTTTTTTTTAAATCCATGCAGTGTCCTCTTGCATAAATTGCAATGTATTTTCAAAGATTTATTCTCTTTTATATTGCCTCTCTTTCCCAGAACTACCATTGCTATCCTTCGTATTCTTTGAGGTTGCCTGTGGGGCCCTGATTGAGCATTGCTCTAGAGCAGTGGTAGACAGGAGTGCTCACAGGAACATACCCTGAACTAGGGACTCAGTCACGGTTTTAGGTAGTTGGACACAGATATCCTCTGGACAGCAATCCTTGTCTGTTTCCTTTTCCCTTGTTTATCTCCTCTGGCTGCCAAAAATTCTCTCAGGCACCACCTGTTCTCTCTTCAGGGCCCCTCTGTGAACCTACTGTACCTAGCAGTTATGTGCTATGGAGGGACCCTCTCTCAATACCAATTTTAACCAAACCAAAAAAAGCATTTATGAAACAATCAGGGATGTTTAAACAGTAACTGAGTATTAGCTTATATTAATGAATTAGTATTGTTTTTCAAATAGCATAATGGTACTGTGATTATGTTAAGAATCCTTTTCTCTTAATGATAGATACTGAAGTAATTACAGTTGAGATGTTATATCTCAGATTTGCTTTAAAATAACCCAATGTGGTGGTTCTCAGCTACAGGAGGTTTTCCTGCCAGAGGACATTTGGCAACATCTGAAGATGATTTTAATAATCAAATTGAAGGTTTGCTGCTGGCATCTAGTAAGTAGAGGCCAGGCATGTTGTTAAATATCCTACGGTGTCCACCACAGTGCCCCCACCACAGCACCCCCACAACAGAGAGTTATTTAGCCCCAAATGTCGATAGTGCAAGGTTGAGAAACTCTGGTCTAGATGAAAACCAGTGGCATGCAGTGGTAATGCTGAAGTGACCTGTTAAGTACATAGGGATTTCTTGTAGTGTTCTCTTTACTCCTGTGTAAGTTTAAAGGTTTTCCCTAATACAAAGTTTTTAAAATATTTTTTTTATTTAAAAGTATAAGTATTCTCTGAAAAACTTCCCCTCTGTGTAGAGCACGGTTTTTCCAGCTGAGTCTGGATGGGACACCACAGCTTGTTTTTCCGCTTGTGGATATCCTGGCCCTGTGTTAGCAAGCCTTTGGTTAAATACTATCTGCCCACTTTCAACACCAGTCCTTGTTGATTTGAAGCTTCAGGTGTCTCCAGGCCCAAACTGGTAGAACCAGTACTCACCTTTCAGCTGGAGGTTCTTCAGTTTTGAGTGATCTTTTCAGGAATCCGGTCTCATCTGCTCTGTCCTCTGCAAATTCCTCCAAGTTTCTGGTCTATTGATGCCACTCTTTGCTGCCTTCCAGATAGACTTTTGATTTATTACTGTTTTCATATTTCTCCTATCATTTCATTGTACTTCTGGGAAGAGGAAAAGTATGGATTCAGCCCACTGTCTTGAGCCAGACTTCTCTTACTACGTTCTTTTAATATCTGGTATACAGCCTTCTGTGACTGGTGTTAACAAAGACATATTTAATGACAAATCATTCTTTAATCCATTCACTCAATGTAGTACTGTATTTATTTAGGGTCAACTATGTGTGAAATTCTGTGTTGGGTCATAGGTATATGATGAGAAACAAATCCTTGCCCTTGTGGAATTTATGGTGTAAAGAAGGGATACTCATTAATCAACTACACTCAAATAAATATATAATTATAAAGTGGAAGAGGTATTATCAAGAGAAATAACAGAGTGCTGTGTGAGAGTAATAAAATAATAGCTAACATTGACTGAGGACCTAATTCGTGCTGGTTACTGTGCCAAGAACATTACATAGATGATCTCATTTAATCTTTAGAACAGCTAATTTTAGAGGTAAGGAAACAAAGACTTAGGATGCTAATTTAGTATTAGCAAGTTAGAAAATACTTCTCTGGGAAAAGTAACACTTAAAATGAGAACCGGATGACTAGGAGTTAACCAGACAGAGAATGGAGGGGAAGCTATGTGAAGCAAAAGGAATAACATGTTCAAAGGCCTAAGGAAGAAGTGAACTCAGCATCAAAAGATGCCAGTAGCTGAAGTTCAGTGAGCAAAGAAAGAGTGCCAGAAGATAAACAGTGACTAAATGGGGGAGATTGTTATAGACAGGGTCAGAATATTATATTTCATTGTAAAGGCTTAGGAAGCCATAGAAATGTTTTACATAGGAGAGAACATGATCTGATTTGCTTACTTAGAGACCATTCTGACTGCTTTGCGAAGAATGGATTAGCAGGAGACAGAGGCTTCTGTGATCCAGATTAGAGGGAATAGAGATTTAGACTACAGTGATGGTGACAAAATGGAAAAGAGGCAGACAAATTTGAGGTGTTGGTTTAACTCTAAACCATATAACTTGCTTCTGGGATGGATACAGAAGATAAGCATGAGGGAAGAAATCAAGGGGATTTCCACATTTCTTACTTGCACAGCAGGGAAGATGGCAGTGCTAGCCACTGAATGGTGAAGGAAAGGTTTTAGACACAGAAAGTTTATATTGCCCATGAAATTGAAAGTTGAGGAGGCACACAAGCTCAGAAGAGAGGTCTCGCCAATCGGTGTAAATGTGGGAACTGCTGACATACCATTTGTGCTTAAAGCCATCTGTCTGATCAGATCAACTAGATAGTGTAGTGAGGAGTTGCCAAGGGCAGAGCCCTGAGGAAACCAGACATCTAGAGATACGGTGTTGGAAGAGTAACAACTAGTGAGGGAAAATGAGATGGAGCAACCAAGAGATAAAAAGAAAATGAGAAGAGTGCTTTGTTGTGGCAACCAAAAGAAACTTCTTTAAAGAGAGAGTAGTCAGCTGATTTGCTCATTTTAAGATGAGAGCCACATTCCAGGGTATGTTTGAAAACTGCCATCAATAAAGAGGCATGGTATGTTATCTCTCATCTTTTAAAAAAAAATGCTTTCCACCTCACATATCTCACCAGCTGCTGTTCCTTTTCTCTGTATCCCTTTGTGGTAAAAGTCCTCACCTCAGATAAGGAATTGGCATCTCGCAGTCTCCTCTTTCATCTTTATTTCACTCCATTAAGGCTTTCTTACCAACTTCTCAACTGAAACCACTCTTGGAAAGGTCACCAATAGTTGCCATCTTGTCAAATCCAGTCCAGTTCTCTGTGAAATGTACCTGCTTAATTTGTTGGTAGTATTTGATTGAGTTGATTACTTCCTCCTTGAAAAACTGTTTATGGCTTCCGTGACATCATATTCTGCTGGATTACCTTCCATCTCATGACTTTCACTTATGAGTCAGTTTAGCCAGCTGATCTTTTTAAAGAATGTAAATCCAGTTATATCTCTTCAAGCCCTTTAATCACAGTTTTCTTCATCACATTCAGAATTAAATCCACTCATTACCATGCCTACAAATCCCTAAATCTTCTGGTTCCTGCCTACCTCTCCAGCCACATCTTGTACCACAACTGCCCTTTGTACTATCTCTTGAAACTGCCAAGCTCCTATGGACTGTTATGTTTGCTGTTACCTGTGTCTGGAAAGCTCTTAGCCCAGATCTTTGTATGGTTCACTTCACATTATTTAGACCTCAACCGCTTCAGACCTTCCCAAACTACTCTAAAAATAGACCCAATCCATCACTCCCTATCCCTTTACCCTTCTTTTCTTCAGAGCTCTTGTCTCTGTCTGACATTATGTGTTTAATTATAAAGAGAGGAGAACCCTAATGTCCCCTCTTTACCCAGAATGTTAGCTTTCTATCGCTTGTCTGCTTGATTACTCCTCTTTTCCCAGTCTGGAACAGTACCTCACATGCAATTGCTGGTCCATAAATTTTTTTCTAATGAATGCTAAGAGGTTGAATCAGATGAGGATGGGAGTGGTCCTGCTGGACTTGGCAATATGCCATTTGTTGGTGTCCTTGATGAGCAATTTAAGTGGAGCACTGAGGGTGAGAGTCAAAGCAAAATAGCTTAAAGAATATTAGAGGTAAGCAATTAGAGAAAACGACTGTTTCATAGTGGGAAGTTAACTGAAGAGAGGTATGGGTTCTTGATGGCTGGAGGAGAGTAAATAAGGTCAAGAAGGCAAGTCTTTGAGATGATAGTAATGAATGTAATCCAGAGCATGTGTGACAGGGTTGACCTTCACATGGGAGGGACATATCCTCCATTCTAGCAGGATGGAAAATGGTGAAGATAGTTATGTAGTCACACTGTTTGTGTAGTTAATGGTGGGGTGTGAGAGTGGAGGAGGATATGTTATCATCTGGTCAGCTGCCATGAGAAAGGAGCCTAAGTATTGGGTGGAAAGGAAGCCAGTCCCTGTGGAATGGAGGGAAGAGTTGCTATATCTCCAAGCCAGATGTTGCTGTAAAAGGTGGCTGTGGAAAGAGGCAGAAAAGATTACCCAGTATTTTTGGGTACATAGGGCTTAGGGTTCTAAAAATCTCTCCTTTAATCAGAAACAGTGTTCTCTGTGCCTGGAAACCATTTGGTTTATGATAGGAAAATTGTCCTCTTCCCTTCCTCTCCTATCTTGCTCTAAATGGAGCCCATTGAGACTGGGAGAGGGTACATTACTGACTCTACACACCCAGCTTGCCTTCATGTTTAGATGTGCTTTCAGATATTTGAGTCTTGTGTATGTGGTAAGTACTCTTTTAGGCTCTATGGCAATGAAATGAAACAAAGTCTCTGCTTTCAAAGGGCTTTTATTCTAAGGCAGGGATTCAGAGAGTACACAAATATATAGTAAACCAGAGATGGGGCACACATGTCACCCTAGGCCCTCACCCTACCCTTTCTTCTGTTCCATCCAAAAGCCCTGGGGTGGCTATAGCAGATGTTTTATCTCTCTGTCTCATTCACTCACTCTTTCTCTGTCACTCACTCTGTCTACGCCCTGCAATCCACAGAAGCATTGCACAAGCCCATCTTCCTCATCTGGGTGTTTCCCTAGCAACTGACTTGAGCCCTCTATTGCACACAATGGTAATGACATGTTTTGTTCTCTCAATTTCAGATGAGACGCCAATTATTGCTGTGATGGTGGCCCTGTCCTCTCTGCTAGTGATTGTGTTTATCATCATAGTTCTGTACATGTTAAGGTGAGCATGCTAATGCTTCTGTGTTCTCTTGGAATCTATTTCAATACCCCAGGAGGGTCTCAATAAGCCCACACAGTCCAGAAGATAGTAGAATAAAGACAATAATAGTATAGAAGGAAATGATTCATAGTAGTGTTACTAAGATTAAAATTCTACTTAGAAATGGTTTAAATAGTCTTCCTCAAGACCAGCTCCTTTCCTTTTTTTCCACCTGTCAGTCCCCCAACTCCCATTCAAGCTTAAGCCCAGGATGGTGATTTGAAGGCTGAGGGAAGAAGCCAGTCTCTGTTATTACTGACAGGTGTTTGAAGATCTGCAGATCTAGCCCAGTTGAAGCAGCCTGTGAATGTGCTCCAGTGCAGATTAAATAAAGGCCTATTTTATTTCTATTGGGGGGTTATCTCCACAGCTGTGTAGGACCCCTGACCATGGCATACTGAACTGAAGCACATGAGTTACAGTGTTCCCCTTTCTGACTTTTCTTTTGGGGTCCTCTACATACTAGTACTCAAACAGGGAGCAAAAGTAAAACCCAAGGGAAAGAGGGAGGTGCATTTGTTCTCTTCCTGCTGAAGTTACTGCCCTAACAAATTTTGGGTTAAACTCAACCCTCATTTTTGGCTTAAGCTGCTTCTGTAGTAATAAAAAGAGGGGAACCTCATGCACTCCTACAATTTGTCCTGTGTCTCCACCATTCTGCAGGAGACTTGTAGCCAGACCTGTGCCCACCCAGTCTGAAGCTCTGGGCTTCTGCCTGGTTGTACCACAGAAAAACCAGAAATTTTGTTTGATATGGATATTCTTATCTCCCCTCACTGTATTCCACCCACTCATTCCTTTTCCACCTGGTTGAGCTGTGGTCTCCAGTGAGTGCTGAATCTGGAGCTACACAGAGGAGCCATATGAACCAGAATATACTTTTGGTGTTATCTGGGTTAGATCTTAGGGTGCTGAGGGTGAGCAGGAGCATCCTGAAGCACTCAGTCACCATGGAATAGAGGTGCCTCAGCACGTGCAGGGCCAGTCTCTCAAAGAGCCTGTTTATTTGGTAAATGAGATTTAGAAAGGCTGGCTTGATTAGTGAAAGTACAAAGCCAATGATTGGTCTCTCCTGCTTCTGTGCTTCATTTATCACTGTGAACATTTTCTCATTAGGTTTAAGAAATACAAGCAAGCTGGGAGCCATTCTAATTCTTTCCGCTTATCAAATGGCCGCACTGAGGATGTGGGTAAGGCACCCTGTAATGACATGGGGAATCTTCATGGAGGAGAGAATCAAGAAAGTAGGGGTTTCCCCATCCTAAAAGGGGGCAAAAAAAAGACTTGGAGATTACAGCCCTAGTTCTTAGAGGCCTGGTCCATGGGACAGAGTTGGGTCCCCTGAGCACCTGACCAACCTTCCCCTTTGTATACTGCAGAACCCCAGAGTGTGCCACTCCTGGCCAGGTCTCCAAGCACCAACAGGAAGTATCCGCCCCTCCCCGTGGACAAGCTGGAAGAGGAGATTAACCGGAGAATGGCTGATGATAATAAGCTCTTCAGAGAGGAATTCAACGTGAGTTCTTTGCTGAGGCTGGTGTTGTCAGCAGGGAGGAAGGCAGACCTAATAAGGGCAGGCCTTTTGAATCATGGGATAGAAAACAGGTTTCTGTGGGTTAAGACATGAGAATTTTCTTTTAATTTGCCCATAATAAAAAGAGGTGAGAAACTTTTTAACAAGGTTATCTGACTCCTTTTATATGACCATGAACAGGAAGTGAAAAAAAAATTGCCTCACCTCTCTCATCTCTACCCATCCATCCATCCATTCATCATCTCATCTGTTACTATGTTTAAAAAGTACTTATCAAGCATCTAATAAATGTGCTAGGTTCCAGGGATTTGGTGGTGAGCAAAAACAGACCCAGTTCCCATACTCAGGAAATTCACTGTTCAGTAGGGCAACCCCATAAATGAGAACAAAAATAACTATCAGTTCAAACAACAGCTTAGGACATGAGGGACTGTATAGTTATAGGACACTATATGAAGAGATGGCCTTTTAGCATCTAGCACAGGGCCCAAAGAGTTCGTAAGTAGACAATATAGGAGTAGATTAGTATGAAAAATGGAGACTATGGCAGACTGCAGAGCCCAGGCCTCATGTTGGTATTTAGATTTGTATTTTTTGTAACTCTCTCAACAGAACAAGTTTGTGAATCTACCATTTGGTGATCCCAGCCCACCAGTTCTGATCCTAAGTCAGAACTTCCTTGAGGAAATGATGTTTTAATTGAGACCTAATCATACACAAGGGCACTAGGAAAGGGGGCTGGGAAACTTTTCAGGTACTGGAAATAGCAGGAGCACTATCAGTAGTGTAGGTGAGGGAGGGAAGGACACAGGCAACAAATAAAGAAGGGCTTTGTGCCACCAAAGGGCAGAGACTCAAGGGAGTAGTAAGAAATGAAACTGTGGAAGAAGACTGGGCTAGACTGTAGGACTTAGGGATTGTGATGAGAGAAGTGGAAAGCCATGGACCAACCAGACTTGTATTTTGAAAAAATGACTGGCTGCTGTAGAGGGAGTAACCTGTGAGGAGAACAGAATGGATGTATGGGGTACATTAAGGGTTGCAACAGTTAAGACCAGAAGTGTTAATATGTTGACCTAAGATGATAATGATAGGGAGAGGAGAATGGATTTGAGGATACAGAGCAACAGTTCCAGAGTGGGCCAATTCATCTACTTGGACATTACTAAACTATCAGTCTCCTTCATACCTTTCCACGCAGCCATGTGTCAGCTTTGTCTCTTAGTCTGGCTCACCTCATGATGCCAAAATGGCTGCCCCCATTTTAAGTGCCACATGGAGGTATAACAATGTCCAGTGGGAAAAGGATAACTGTTTCTTCCTGTAGGTCTCCTTTTATCAGTGAGGAAAACTTTCTCAAAAGCTTCTAGAGACTCCCTTATCACATGCTCCTTCTTAAACCAGTAATAAGCAAGGGAGAAATAGGCTGGCTGAGGCCAATCCTGATTATTCCTGTGTCATGCAGGGGTTAGACAGAGAAACCCACAAAACGGGTGCTCTGGTAGCAAGGAGGGAAGAAGGAATGGTTATTGGGTAGGCGGATCACCACTCATAACTGTACTACCACTGGAGGATTTAGGGGAGATGGAGAGTAATATGGTCAGATTTGCCCTAGCTGCAATGAGGACAATAGATGGGAGGGAGGCAGGACTTGAAGCAGGAAGGAGACTATTTATCAGGCAAGAGTTAATGGAATACCTTGAATCCTTTTTCTGGCTGTTGGCAAAACAGTGCCAATTAATGTTTATTGTGATTGGGAGCATTTACCTCATCCCAGAAGATAGCACCCCTGCCTCAGCACTGTAGCTATATCTCCAGTAGACACTCTACTGTTTTATAATCATTAGTGCTGCTTCTGGGTAATGGGGTATGTGACCCCATGGCCATAGCTCTTAGTTTGGAGGTAATATTCCCTGAGATGCCATGGTAGTGCATTCTAGTAAGTCCCCGGGTGAGGATGGTGTTCCTAAAGACTTGGTAGGCAAATTCAGACAGATGTTGTGGTAAGAGCCAGTTGCTGTGCTACCATGGCTCAATGGGCCGGCACTAGAGAACCACAGCTCTGGGTTTCTAGTGGGGACTGCTGTCTGGCTAGCATATGCATAGAACTTAAATATCTCCCATCTCATTCCAGTTACCTGCTACCCAGGAATTGGCTTAAATCCTGGCCTCCAGTGAGGTAGTGTGATACTTGCTTGAGTTTCCGCTCACTTGAAGGATTTCTCTTTTATACTCATTCAGAGCCCTTCCTTAAGTAGATTATCCCATAGTAGTCTACTTCTAGAATGGACTAGCATGTCTTACAGAGCCATTTGTACTAGGCTGGACTTTTTTCTTCTTCTATCAACTGTTGATATCATTGGGAAGTCAGAGGTGACTACTGAAGGAGTGAGTGTGAGGCAAGCGTTCTGTACATATCACTTCCAGTTAGTGGTGGAATTCTATGGAAATGTCCAAATTTATGGCTTATTAAATCACATAGTTCTTAGTTTATAATGGGTTATTGAAGTCATTTGGCTTATCTAGTGTCCCATAATCAAGCTTACAGTCTCTGCAAGAGCCAGTGTTAAGCCAAGAACATGATTTTGCTGACAGGTTTGTAGTGTTGTCCTCAAATCCTAGGATTTTTCATTATGATTGTACTGCTCAGCCTTAACCACAGACACTTATGGCCCTATAGCATCTACCAGAGACAGTTTCTCTGTGGTCTGGATCAGTGGCCTTCTCTTTTCAGATCACTTAGTAAATGAATCAGAACAGGATAATAGCATGTGGTATATGCTGTCTCCAAAATCCAAAATGTCCCGGCAGGCATCACTTCTTCTTAGCAGAGGAGGGGGATACATGTCAAGGAGCAGCAACTTGTCCTTTACATCAAAGAAGATAACCTGACATGCTGCAGGCCTTTGACTTTTAGAAAACTAGGCTGAGGTGGCAGGCCACTCAATTTTTATTTTTATGTCTAGCATGTACATTTAAGATACATAACATCCTGCTCTTCAAGACCTGTCATCTTGATGTCATTAATGTAGTTGTTAAGGTAATACCCTGTGAAACACTGAGACAAAATCCCAGTGAACTAGATCACAGCAGGGAGTGGTCAAGATGATTTATCACTGAGGCTGCTCCTGCCATGAGAAAGGGAAACTGCTCCATGTAGTCTTTGTGTACCGTAACGGAAAAAACATACACTTGCCTCATTTAGCACTGTATTTCAGGTACCAGGGGTTATGTTAATCTGTAGAGAGGAGAATGCATCTGGGAAAGTAACTGCATATTTGCAGCTCCACGTGATTTGCGTATTATGACCTACTGCCATTCTTCAAAACTGTCAATCATTTGTGTTAGTCTTTCTGGTAGCTTGCCTGGAGGATAGTGGGAAGTATCAGAATAGCTCATATTTAATACTACTGAGCACTCACTTCATGCCACCACTAAACTCAGACATGTAAATGGATTATCTCTTCATTATCCTGCAACTTTTAAGTCTTCTGTAGCACTTAGGGTCTCTGTCACTCACCTAGGGACTTAGCCTTTTGGTAAAGAGAGATTACTGCTCCAGCAGCTTGCACTTGCTCTTGCTTCTGTAGTGAGCCTTATCCAAAAGGTTAGGGTATTCTGCCTCTTGCTGTAGATAGCTATTTCAGCAGTACACTGGGAAAATAGGCAGTCCTTACATAAGGCCAGACTCCTATTACCTGGTCTGCAAAGGCTCCATTCTAGCTAGCATGAAATAGTGGCATTTGGGATTCCTAGGAATTAGTGAGCTCAAAGCCAGAACCAGGTAGACCCCAAAAGGTATATTACCCTTTACCTGGTAGAGTTAACCATGGTAAATGGCTATAGATTCTTAAGGAAAGATGAGGAGGAAGTTTCATGGTATATGAATGGTGATGTGCTGTGGCAGGGTTGTTCCTTACATGTGCCCATCATTGAAGAGTTCTAGTGAACTGACCCAGGCCTGGAAGTTGGATGACAAGGGCCCTTTCCCTAACATGGCAGTCTTGTCAGGCCCTCACAACTGACCTGGGCTTGCTGCCTCCCATTTCCATTGTGAGAGCTTCACCCAGAGATGTCTGAGCCCTGGTGACTGTGGCCTCTGAAGCTCCTTCCATCCCCCCAAGATCAAGAATCTCATGTTGAAGCCAGTCCTTTCCACCAGGAGCTCACTGATGAAGACAGGTAGGAAAGCACTTCTGAACGATTCCAGTGCTTTCCTTCCCAAGGTACACCCTCTAGCAAGTCATGTGCTGTGAATTCCATCAGGGACGTGGTGAAGGTATCAGTAGGAAGGTTGAGCCTGTTGGGTCATGGATAACACTGATCTCTGCATTGTGCCAAGCAAGGAGTTTCTGACTTTTCATTGTTGCACTGTTACCTAGCTGGATCCAGCATTCCTTCCAGGTTTCCACTGGCCACCCTAGCCCACCATTAGAACTGTGATCAGTTTCCTGAGCTGTCACACTGACCGCAGAAGTTCAGTTAACCATACCATAACTAGAAATTTGGCCTTATCCAAAAATTATGCTCTCCCCTCTTTGGTCTAACATCCACAAAATGTCTATCAGCTCTTCCTGCAGTTTTTAATAATTCAACTCAGTGAATTCTTGCAGTTTTCTCTAAGTATTAGCTCTTTGCTTTTCTATCTTGTTTATGTATTTTACTCTCCAGATCATGTTATGCTTGCATCCTGATTATCTGTGAGCAATGAGAGCTGAGTTATGGGGCAGTTTTTATCATGAAAGCAAGGTACAATAGAGAGCATAGTAGAGATTTTTAGAAGTTGGTTTTCTCCAACCCCTTCCTTTCAGCATCATTTCCATTGTCTCACGTAATGCCCTGTCTTTCACATGAGCAAACCAGGAAAGATGTGAATTCTATTGGCATTAACATTTAGCAACCAGAAAAATTCTAAAATCTTAACATTTGTTCGAGCAAAATACTGTAGTGCAGTCATAGAAAGGCCCTGAGTCTTGCACTGT